TTATTATTATTATTATTATTATTATTATTGTTATTTTAATTGTTTCAGTTATTGGGGTTGGGGGGATTGTATCACTGTTTTTAATTTTATGCTTTATTTTAAACTACTGAAAGACCTTATGTATTGGCAGTATAGTAAATGTTATGGTATTAATAAATAAAATAGTAGATATATAAATAATAAAATAATGATTCATAAAGTTTAGATGGGCATATTACACAGCTCAGCAATAAATAGAAAACATGAATATTTGCAAATTCTCCTGCAGCTCCTATTACTTGAGCCAGTCCCTTTATTTCTGTTTGTTTATGTTAAATCAGTGATTATGTTTTATGCCCATTGTACCTTTTATAAAAACAATGTGATTTTCCTAAAACAAAGAAAACTTCTTTGTATGAAGAAAGTCTTCGAGTTCTCACTTGAGGCACAAATGACCAGGCTCAAAGTATCCTATTTCAGACACATTATTCAAAGACCTAGCTCTCTGGAAAAGACTCTAATGCTGGGAAAGTGGAAGGAAAGAGAAGAAGAGGACGACTAGCAGCAAGATGGATGGACTCAGTTACAGTGGCAACAGATGCACTGCTAGAAGATCTGAAAGGGTTAGGGACAGATTGTCATGGAGGACACCTATCTATCTGGTTGTTAGCAGTTGAAAATGACTTGATAGCACATAATCAATCAAAAAATGAAGAAAACCAGAGGTGCCGCATGATTCTAAGTACAAAGTACTAAGTACTAAGTACAAAATACTAAACTGTAAGTACAGATTAACAGGCCACATCTGTTGTGCTCACATAACATGTTTTGTCCATACAAATAAATTATATGATATTGTAACATGCTGAACCACTAATATCATTTAATGTAGTTTTCTGAATTATGAATTATGTGAACCCAGCCAAACTGTGTTTATTAGGGACATGTATAATATTTGACTGACTCCAAAATGGTGAGACAAAGGGGGCTACTACAGATAAAATCTTGCAGCCATGCAAGGTGATGTAGGATTTCCAAGAAGCAACCTGGGCTGGATAGAAATGTTTGTGAATTATCTGACATTTTTAGAGTAGGAAGTCTCAACGTGATGAATTTTTGTGACCTCCACCCATATTTAGACATGCTGTTAGCTTGTCTGGACAAAGTAGGAGTCTTGCCATGAAACAGCTATGCATATGCAAATCATTCTTGTATACCCAAAGCTGAATCACTGTGAGAATGTTCTCTGGGCACTGGGGATCCTTTCAATGGCCTTTGTGCTTACTGCAACAGGTCCAACCAGCTCCTAAGCACAACTCATAGCAATCCAATCAAGATTAGTTACGTATCTTCCTCTTCCCAAAGGTGACTATATTTGGGGTAGGACTTGGTGCTGAACCTGTATGCTTGTTTCAGATAAACCAAGCATACTGGCTTCCCATCAGAAACCATTGTCCTCTTGCTGTTGAATGACACATGGCTAGAACAAAGCCTGTTGTTCACGTCCTTCCAGCTTGATGTGGACCACTGATTTATATTTCTTGGTTATGACTGTTTAACCAGCTCTGTATTCATCAAATGGTAACATAGTCTAGCTCATTTTTTTCCCATATTTTTTTACCAGAATTTTATGTGAGACTTTGTTCATTGTTTTGCTGAAGTCAAGATATACATACTATATTCACATTTCCATGGTCATCTAAACTGAATGTGCTATCAGAAATGGAGGTTAGTTTGGTTTAGTTTGGACTGATTTAGTTCTCATAAATTCATGGTGATCCCTGAGAAGTATTGCATTCTTTTCTAAATACTTATAAATTAACTCCTTAATAATAATGTTGTTTCTAACCTTAACAGTGGGGGGAAAGAGGACCTAGGTATTATAACTGCAAAATGGTCATCTTGACAATGATATGGACTTTCTTCTTTCTGTACACACACTCACTGGGTTCTGAAGGTCCTCAAAAAACAAAAAAAATCCACCCTTGAGGTACATGAAGGAAAAATGCAGATGAGTACTAATAGCATACTTGTGGCAACTCGTGCCAAATTCATATGATCTTTTCCATATGATCTTTTCTCATGCCAAACTCATATGATTTTTTATTTGTCTATTATTTAAAAACAGTAACAACAACAACAACAGGAAGACAAGATATATGTTTGCAGGATTCACCAAGGGAAGCCTTTCTGATAGCACTCAAAATTATAAGAATGGAACCATTGCAAACCAGTACTTCTCACTTCTGGATCCATCTCTGCTAAAAACATTGTGGTCAAAAATTTCAACACCAGTTTTAAGATATACTGTCCTATCTCCTTCTGGTAGATATTATTCCTCAGAGTGTTCAAGACTATCCGCATAAACTCTCTAACAACTCCCGGAGCTGCAGGACAAATGCTATCACTACCACCTTAGGTACATATGGAATATTGCACATCAGCCCATAGCTCTTAAAATCAGACAGTCATGATTTCTTAAACAAGGGCCTTAGCACATCTTCCTTTTAGTAATGGGAATTCCACCTAGGGAATTCCTAGAGAATTCCAACCTAGTACAGAGAAGTTTTAGTAATCTCAGAAATCATCGATAAGTTACAATCTTTGAGGCCCTAATAAGGTAAGCTAACTAAATAGTAGCCCAAACCCTAATACCTTACCTTGTACGGAGGGTGACCCTATAGGTAAAGTGTTTTGCTCAGGCAGTTTGCTTTGAGGGACAGAACAGATTAATACATTTTAGTTTACCACTATACAACGCAATCCTACACACACACACACAATCTGAGAAGTAAATTCTCTTTTCAGGACATAACATTGCATCTTTCTTTTAGTATTGTTTTTTCCACCCAGGGAGAGGTGTCTGTGAAAATCTGTCCAGCTGGCTAGCTGTTCTTAACACTGGGTCACAACTGTTTGAAGCTGCTATTTAATCTTGGTCCTGTGTTGTTGCTATCATTATTTCAGTTAAGTAATCAGAATATCTGCAAGTTGTCGGTCTTGCATTTTATTAACTGAGTACAGTAACTCCATGTTAATGGTAAGATTCTTTGCTGCCATCTAGTGTTGAAATCACTCTGCCTGCATTATACACACTATACTTGAAGGCTGATAGAAATGGCAAGAAACATTCTTATCATAGACTCTCTTGGCTGGTATTTTTTAGTTTTACATTACATGTCAGGATGTTAGCAATGCAAGAGAGATAATATATAAAAAGACAGATGTATGTTAGAGATACCAGTGTGTGTGTGTTTGTGGAGAGAGTGAGAGGGGGAGAGAGGGGGAGAGAGAGAGAGAGAGATAACAGGCTCACTTCTTATCCATAAAAATGTATGCAAACATAATTTACAAAACTTTAAGATGTTGTAAAATCCTGTATATATTTGTTGGCTAAAACAAACTAATGCTCTGAAATAGTTGTGAAATTTTAAAAAGCAAAATTTTCAAGTTTTAGCAACTGAAATTTAGGGAAGTTTGGGCTGCAAATCACAAAGCTCTCTGGGAAAAACACATCTTTCTAAAATTCTGGACAAT